GCATTGTTGTCTTCAAAGGAGTGACCTTTGTCCTTGAGGCGTGGATGAAGAGCTGATTCTTGACCTGAAGTGTTGGCTCTTCTGTGTTGTGCCATCATTTTGTGTAGCTGCTGTTTTGTTTCTCTGATGTAGAGGTCTGAGCATTCCTTGCTGTGCTGGACTGCATACACCTCTCCACTGAGCTTGTATTTGGGTGTTTTGTCCTTTGGGTGAACCACCAGGTTTAAAATGCACCCGAATGTCATGTTTGGATTAGTTTTTCTGACACTCCAGGCTCATATGAGATGACTGTGTTCTTTCTTCTCTTCTTCGATTACATGCTGCCTTTTTAGTTATTTTGTATAATTTGTAGGTGCTTTCTTAATGTTCTCAGTGTTTTTTGTCCTTTTCTTCCATTTTGTGAGGACCTTTTTGGCTCAATCTTGACAGTTTATGCTCCAGTGGATGGTGGGAATCCAAGAGCAGGTGTGTGTGGGTTTCCAATAGACTTCAGTGGTGAGGCTACCATTTACTTCCAAGTAACACATGGAGGACTTATTTCACAGTCCCCCACACACACTCAGACAATTTTTTACACAAAAGCCATTGAAGGGAGAAGTCGACACCGTTTACTAAACATCAACAATAAACTATTAGGCTGGATCTAGTGCAGAAACACCAGTAGGATCAGAGAAGTGAGGTGGAGAACAGCGGGACTACAAGTACAGGGCTGAATAACAGAACAGGAACAGGTGTGTAATGAGCTGTAAAAGGGGGAAGGATGACAGAACAAAAAACATAAAGACCAAAAACTCTGACAAATACCAGCAATGGAATACTCCAATTCTCAGAATCCCTCTGTGATCAGGTCACATGTCATTTTAGGAGGAAGCTGTAATAAAGCCAAACTGCAACAAAGGGAAATGTCAGTCTGGTCATTATTTCCTCCTAAGTAGAATTTTGATGCCAGATATAAACCAAAAAATTCAGTTTCTGTTTGGGTTTTTTCATTGGTGGAGATTTTTCAGCATAAAGAAAATATTTACCAGAGTAGTTTTAAGTTTATTTATATCATACTTAACACAGAAAGAAAAATCGCAAAGTGCTTCGCAAAGAACAAACAAAGATCATAAAGTCAAAAACAAACAAAAAATCATAAAACAAATTAAAGATAATAAAATGCTAAAGCAGTTTTAAATAAAAGTGTCTTCAGCTGCCCTTTAAAGGTGACGGTCAATACAACAAAACAATGAAGGACGTTAATTTTAAAGTTGAGGAGCAACAGCCTGCAAGAGCGATCACCTCAACTTTCATATCTAGTTTTTGGAAGTTGGTTCTGATTTTTGGACCTGAGGGCTCCATTTGGAGTATAAGGTTTTACAGATCAGTAATATAAGGAGGAGCTTGACCATGTGAAGCCTTGAAAGTTATAATCAGGATTCTAAAATGAACTCTAAAGTTAACGGGTAACCAGTGCAGAGACATCACAATAGGAGTGATGTGAGCTCTTCTGTTTGTTCCAGTTAGGAGCCTCGCTGCAGAGTTCTGAACCAACTGAAGGTGGTCAAGGGCTTTTTTTTAAACGTGAAAAGTGTGTTACATTAATCTAGATGGGAGAAGATAAAGGCATGAATGACCATTCAAGTTCATGTTTGGACACCAACCTTCACAGTTTCGAGATGTTTCTCGAATGATAAAATCAGTTTCAGACCAGCGTTTTTTTTTTTTTTTGTTTTTTTTTTTTAACTGACCTTCAAGAGACACTGACTGGCCAAAAACAACACCCAAATTCCTCAAGTCTGATTTGATGACAGAAGTTAAATGTCCAAGTTGTTGACTAATCAGAGGAATCATGCTCTCAGGGTAAATCAGATAATCAGTCTTTTTAGAGTTTCACTAAAGGAAGTTATCTTCTATCCAGCTGGCACTTTAGTGGTTCTGACAGTTTATAGAACTCAGAATCCTTAAAGCGACACTAAAGAGTTGCAGCTTCTCCCTCCTACTGGTTGAAAGTGGAATTACAACTGTCATAAACAACCCACCTGCAGCCTGCTGTTGCTTGCTCTAACAACAAACTAACACTAATGCTAAACAACTGATACTAAACAAGCCATGAAGTAAAAAGATCCACACTGTTGGACAAAATACATTATTATTTACAAGTCCAGTAGCAACAAAGCCAGGTCACAATCAGTCCATGATTTCGTAGCCTCCTTTAGCTCCTTCAAACAACTGTGGGCTGCGGTGATGTTCACTCTGGTTTTAGCTCTTTGCTCTGACTCCAAAGACAAAACTTTATTATTTTTACTTCCAGGCTCCACTATGATGTCAACAAAAAAAATCAAAATTCCTTTTCTTCTTGTGCTTTTAATTAATGGACGGCAAATTGAAAAAGCTAACTGACAGTATTTATATTAGCTATCGGCACAGTAAACAGCCATAAAGCACGTAGGAAACTACCATAAACCTACCCAGTCCGCAAAACAATGTGTGTTTGGGTAATGGTGGCACAGAAGTTGAGCGCTTGCCTCATCACTGTCGTTGTGTCCTGTGCCGCAGGGCAGCTGTGGCTACAATGTAGCTCATCACAACCAGGGTGTAAATGTGTGTCAATGGATGTATGACTGATTGTGTTGTAAAGCACCTTGGGGGGTTCCAGGACTGTAGAAGGCGCTATATCAAATACATGTGTGCGTGTGTGTGTGTGTGTGTGGGGGGGGGGGGTAATAGGGGATATCTATCGCCGGGTCTGGTATGGTTGGGGCTGGTTATTTTTGGACTGGCGTGTTCCAATATGGGGCTGCAATTTTCAGGCGAGCATTTCGAACGCAGTTTGGGCCATCACGTCGGCAGGCGGGGATAAACAAAGCATCATGTGCGATTTTATAAGTTGTGCAACTATTCAGTATTTCTTTGCTGCAATAAATGGTCTACAGACCTAAAGACAAAAACTAAATGCTTACCACAGCCTCCATGTGTAACTCCAGAGTGCCTGCCTCGCTGCCTCAACTATAAATAGCATCTAGCACGTCGTAGCAACTCCGTGTGCTTCTCCCATCTGAGAAAAAAAAGTCTACTCCGAATGTTTCCATCCTTAACTACTAACTATATTGGGCTTTCATTTCTTCATCTTAGCCCGACACTGTGCCAAAACGGTCGATGGAAATTAGCAATTAGAAAGGTAAGATCTGAATCGATCTAGAACCATCCCAGAGATCCCCACAGATTCACAAAGTCTGTTAGTCTGGGTACTGTAATCAAAAGTGTCAAAAGGTGCAGAAAGGTCCGACAAAACAAAGACTGTGAAATCCTTGGTGTCTGCAGCTGTCATGATGTCACTGGAAACTATAAACAAAGGTGTTTCTGTTTAATGCTTTTACAAAAACATACTGGAATTAATCCAAACTGATATGTAGTTCCAGAAAAGGCCACTTCATTTTCTAAAACTTTAGAGATAAAGGGCAATTTTGAAATGGGTCTGTAATTTTAAGCTGAGATCAGTCCAAACTGTTTTTTAAGGATAGGTTCAACAACAGCATATTTGAAAACAGAAGGTACATACCCAGATTAGAGGGATAGATTAATAAAATCCATAATGCATGGGCCAATGGGTGAAAAGCATTAAGAAGTAAATAAGTTGAGAGAACATCAACTGGGCTTGAAGTGAGTAACAAATGTCCTGGAAATTCACAGGAGTAAAGAAGGTCCATGCCTGGTAAGAAGGTGGTTCAATTGGAGAATTGGAAGAGCGTGAGGGTCAAAAACTTGCCCTGATATTTCTGATTTTACTCTCAAAGAATGCAAGAAAGTTGCTCCAGTCAGACCTTGAGAGCTTGAGCTTCATTGTTGTGTAATTTTGTTGTCTGTGTTGTTTGTTTTAAAGAACCCCTAATTCTTCCAATAAATTTGGAATTTCCTCTGTCCATTCTGCTCTGGACACCAAAGCTTTTATAATCCTCCAGCTCCACTTCTTCTCCAATGGAGGAAAAGTTGTTTGACATAATCAATTATCTCCTTTGTTTTGTACACAAAATTGTCCCCCAGGTCTCTGTCCTCAGTCTCTTGTCCATTGTACACCTCCATGCAGAGTCATCTGAATGTTTCTGCAGATGAAAGGACTCTGGCTGGTCCTGGAGGTCTGAGGTCTCCAGAGTAAACAGGAATGGTGAGAGGACAGTGCCCTGTGGTGCTCCTGACCACCTGGTCAGAATCACAACTGACGCACTTGGGTCTGTTGGTCAGATATTCATTAATCCAATCTGGAGGTGTTCTCCTGTGTCTTATTGAGCTTTCTATAAAATAAATCAGGCTGGATTGTGTCATATGCACTGGAGAAACTAAAGAATGTGATTCTCACTGAGCTGATGGCTCTGGCTGGGTTACTGCGGGCTTGTTGGGTGCGTGGTATCGGATACTATATGAAATGTTGCACAACAATAGATGGTAAAACATACGATTTATGATGTATATATTGTCAGACATACGGGATGTTGTAAGGTGATGAGTCATATTTAGTTCAGGTCCTCGACCAAAGGTCTGTTGAAAGCTGATGAGATTGAGAGGAACCGCTTTCTGCTTTGTTCCTGTAAACTGCTGCATTACACAAGGCTGCTTTTGACACAGGATTCCCCCGGAGGAGCTGGCCCAGGTGGCTGGGGGAGAGGGAAGTCTGGGCCTCTCGCCTTACTGCCCCCGCGACCCGACTCTGGATAAGCGAATGAAAATGGATGGATGGATGGAAAAAGCCAGTTTATGAGCTACATTAGCTGTCAGCAGAGCAAAGAGCTAATAGCTGTCAGCAGGTAGAGAGCGTGAACCTACCCTTCCCACAGAGCTGTAAAGTGCAGTTTCTGGTCAGCAGATGGCAGCAGAGTGCTGTCCACTGTGAAGTTGCTCTAGTTAATGGCTGAAGAACCACTAAAACCAGTTTGAAAGCAAGAACTTAAACTGTTAAAAACTCTTTAGTGTTGCTTTAAAGTACTGATTTAACCCGTTTGTCTCTGTTTTATTCTCCCCTCCAGGCGCGTGAAGCCAACAGCAGGGGCAACCGACCAGCTGCAGAGCGCTACAGCTCCACTGCCAAGACACTGAACCTTGTGGCCCTGATTCTTGGGGTTTTAGCCATAATATCAAGTGTGGTCATCATAGCTGTTTCTCTTGCTCTTTACTAAATCAGTGTCTCTCTCATATTTCTGGTTCTCGTGCTCCTTTCTACATCCAATAACCAGGTGACATTAGGAGCGCTTTAAGTCTATTTTTGAATCTCTTTTAAAGTTCTGTTTTATTCAGCTGAAGCTAAAGGAACCTTTCACTGCTTGTCCTGCTGTATTAAATGCTCTGAATAAGGGTGTAGTCTTTGTTTGCCATTTATATCAGAATCAAATGTTTATGTTTAATATTCCACAGAATGAATAAACATAAACATCATGAACACACACACTCATAAAATCAGTAACCTGATTAACCTCTCTGGTTATTCTGGGTATTTGTTGTAGACTCTGGATTTTACTCCATATTTCTATGTGTGCAGTCAATTCAAATAAAATATTTTATTTTTAGTCCTCAGTGACTTCATTTTTTTATTTTCACTTTGACACAATAGGGACCTTCAGTCTCCTCCCCTTCTAGTTGGCTCATTAGTCTCCTGAATTAAAAAAAAGAATTTCAGTGAATGAAGCTATAAACGGTATTTTCCTATTTTTAGATCATTTTCTTTAGCCGGCATGTGTTAAAATTACCCTTTACACTGAGAATGAAGAGCCACTCAGATCCCCACCGCCCTCTTTGGCTAGAATATCGCATTTGTAACTTCAGAGTGGCAGTCCAGTCCCTGTTAAACTATGTTTTAGCGATTAATCACTTCTGTAGAAACTAATGAAGGCTGAGGAGACATGTCACCGTTAGAATACGGTCCTAAAAAGGACAAATGAATAGCAAGGAGGTAAGTTTGATTTTTGGTTTTACTAACTCGACGCTAGGGGCGCTAAAAGAAAGCCAAAACTGTCTAGTCTCCCTTTAACGTTATTTTTTTCCTCAGAACTTTATTGAAAAAAGGCATAAATATTCAAAGCAAGCCTTGTCTCCCTTGAATAAGAAGAGGGTTGCCAGGGCTGGTGTGCCCTCTTGTGGTGGCTGGTGGGTGTTGCAATTCAACAGTAGCTTTACACAAAGCAACAGAACAGCTGCACAATTGGAGAAAATATTTATTAATAATTCAGAACCCAAATCTCTCTTTTTTATTTTTACATACCAGTATTGTGCAGGGTTTAGACTGGTTTTGGGCTGGTTTCACACAGGTGTTTGGCAGAGGTGGAAAGCATGCTACAATTTCCTATACAAGTACCAATACTTTGATAATTTTCTACTGAAGTACAAGTAAAAGTAAATGCCTACATTTTTACTCAAGTAAAAGTAAAAAGAATCATAAATAAAATCTACTCAAAGTAAAAGTTACTTAGTTACATTTTTGTCAGCGTAAGGATGGTTACATCTAAGTAGTGCAAAATCACAACGCCAGTTCACAATTCGCTCGTGTCACACACACACACACACACACACACACACACACACACACACACACACACACACACACACACACACACACACACACACACACACACATACATACACAGTTTAATGGTGGGATTTCTATCCAATCAATGAGAACAGGACGTGCACATTGATTGGATGAGATTTTTCTAGGATTGCACGTTTCAATTGTGATTAAAATTATTCTTTATTTTGAGAAAAATATATATTTTTTAGATGCCATCAGCATGTGAGGTATCTCAATGTTTTCAAAACAAAACTCTATCATGAGACCTGTCACATAACAAGCCAAATGCAGTCAAACATTTCAAATGGACCGTACGACAGCTGCTAACGTTGGCCCTGCCCTGCTTTACCTCTACATTGCAGCTCCTTTATTCGTGTCCATCCTAGAGCTCCTCTCTGACCTTCATGCTTATTTAGAGCAGCTGATTTTTAAAGTTAGCAGTTCGTCCTTGGTAGTGGGTTCACTCACTCATTTAACCCTTCACCACTGAAATCAGTTTGTTCATTCCAATCCTCCTAAATAATCCTCTAATCATCCAACTGGAATCCTTAAGGGTCCCAAAACGTCCATCCTGTCAGAATAAGCCTTGGGAGCCCAGGTATTACTAAAATCAATGACGTCATCGGCAGTCGAAGGACCCCGAGCCGATCCTGTACCGACACAGGCTCGTTGAACTACTTCCGGCTCAGAAAAATATTTATTTATTTATTTATGAGCGTTTTCTTGTTCTCGTTCATCACATTTTTCTTTTCTGATATGTGAAAGGACTAAAGTAAAAAATAATTGTTTTGCGTTTTTTTATTTATTCCTTTAAAGTTGAAAATCAAATAAGTGTCTCTTTTTCTTTTTTTTCATTTTTGTTTCTGAAACGAAAATTCAAATACCAAAAAGTACATAGACCCGAATTACAATTCTTTTTAAAAACATACTCAAGTAAAAGTAAAAGTACAGATTTTAAAAACGACTTAAAAAGTATAACACACAAAAAAGCTACTCAATTACAGTAACGTGAGTAAATGTAATTCGTTACTTTCCACCTCTGGTGTTTGGCTGGGTTTAGCACAGGTGTCCACGGTCAGGTAATCAGTGGTTTCATTGAGGCACTCTTGTTACGCCCTTTGTAGCCCTTTTCATTGACTTCTAAAGCCACTGATGTTGTAGATTATGCAATCCTAAAGTAAAACTGAGTCGGTTTGGCTCATAACAGCTGGATGGTTGAACAGACTTCAATGTGTGAAAGCAGGAGCAGCTTCCATCATGCAGCTAAAGGTTGCTCAGGAATCTGTTCTAGACAAGGGTGTCAGTTTGTTTTCAGAATTGCTGGGGACAATACACTTGAGTGGGGTTTAAAAATTGCTGGGGACAATAAAGTAGGCTAGCACAGGGGTCGGCAATCCGCAGCTCTGGAGCCGCATGCGGCTCTTCCATCAAACTGATGAGGCTCTCTGTGCTTGTAAAATAATGAATGGATATTTAAATAAAATGCTTTATATTTTACTGCATTAATTTTACATCTGTATGCCAATTCTAAATGTAAAGATTGTCTGCGTAAACCTGAACAGTTCCAACCCGGTCTTACTGTGAGACCGGGTTGACGGGTCACGCTTGCGCGTAATCATATGCGCTTCTGAGCTGAAGAGGATATGAGATTCTGGGATTCTCCTCAGATGGCTCCTGGATGTGTCGCCACATTGGAGACAGGAACAAGCGCTATTCAGCCAAAGTTTCATAATCAGGGAACATTTTCTAAGTGACAAGTCTCACTTCAGTCGGAGGAATCTTCCTGCATGCGCTCTGGTTCTGCGACGCGCTCCAAGCCCCTCTCCACATCTTCAGCTCGCTGTGTACCTTATGTACGCGCTGACAGTGAGCTGCGCTGAGCAGTGTCCAGCTCAGATGTTCAGATGGGAATCTTTTCTTGAGTGATTTAGCTACATCTGCGATGTGCGTAGAATAAAGTGTCAGTTCGTCTGCATGCGTCGGGGTAATTCTTTCTATTCTTTCTCCGTCAAAATAAACGGTCAAATACGGGAACTATCCGGTCAACACAAGCCCTGTTTTTGACTGTTCTGTTTTCTTGTGAAAATAGATAAAATTAAACTTGATTAACACCAGAGCCAGGCGCACTGCACCGTTATCTCCGTCGCTGTAAATGAGGGAAAAACAAATTGATCGGATCCTTTTCTGTCCTTCCCCACTTACAAAGTTTAATTACAACAATCAAACGTGACAGAGCCGGTATTTGTATTCTGAACAGTCTAAACATGTTTTAAAAAGAAACGTATGACAAAAGGGGCACCTGCTCAGTAAAACCACCAACAGGGTGAAAAAAAACAAAAATTGAAGGCAGAGACGGGCTACAACTTCTGGATCCATTTTATATAAATCGTTTTATTGATTATCATCTTATGAAAGATAACTTTGACGTACACGAGCGACCAGGCGCGTTGCAAGCTTTTCAAAAATGTGGGGGATGTCTGTGCCTAAAATAAGTTCATGTTATTCATCTTGTTATTTTAATTTCCATAATAGCGGAGCAGGTGCGAATTTTAGAAGCGTCACGCATGTCTCCGTTTTAAACATGTTTAAACTGTTCAGAATACAAATCCAGGCTCTGTCTCGTTAGATTGGTGTAACTAAAGTTTGTACTGAATGAAACTTTACATTAAACCATGTTGAAAAGAAAAGCATCCGATTAAATCGTTTCCCCCTCATTTACAGTCACGGAGTAAATAGTGCGCATGGCTCTAGGGTTAATCAAGTTTAATTGTTTCTCTTTGCAACAATCTTCACAAGAAGGCAAAACAGTTAAATGGCAGGTTACAGATATTTCCATTTGACTTTTATTTTGACGGATAAACTCATGGATGTTGGTTGTTTTGAAAGAATTACCCCGAAGCACACTGATGCACACACAGATGAGCTGACATTTTAATCGTTACGCACATCGCGGAGGGAACTAAATCAATCAAGAAATGATTCCCATCAGAACATCAGAGCTTTATACTGGACACTGTGTTCAGCGTGGCTCGGAGCGCCCACGGTGGACAGTGGGCTGAAGATCTGTAGAGGGGTTCGCAGCGCAGCGCAGAACCACGGTGCATGCGGTAAGATTTCCTCCCACTGAAGCGGTCTGGAAACCCGGTCTCTCTGAGGGATCTGTCACTTGGAAAAATGTTCTTTTTATGAAATTATGAAACCTTGGCTGAACAGCGCTTGTTCCTGTCTCTAATATGGACACGCATGACGCATCCAGTCTGAGGCAGAATAGCCTCTTCAGCTCAGAAAGCACATGTAAAGACATTTGATCACGCACAAAGTTTATGTGGAGCAGAAGCGGTCGGGCCACGGCAGGTGAAATGTTCCTAGCCTACATGAAGTGAAACTGTTTAATTGTAACATTAATATGTTACTGGACACGCTGGTCTGGTTGGTTAGACCAGTGTTTGAAGTGGAAAACACACACACACACCAATTAAAATAATGCTGATAGCGTGGACTAGAAGCCAGGTGATGGTGTACGTATTTAAATGATGATCAGGCTGCTGTAAAATGTAATCTCCATCCACATCCAGACAGAATTATCCTCTATTCTTTCTCTACTTTCTCTGCTCTTGTCTGGGCTGACGTAGCTGATGGTGCGCGCGGCGCGCCTAACTAGCGGCTGGTGCACATTTTACGCATTTGGAGAGGTGGGCTGGATGCTTTGCTTTTACTGGAAGATGGTCCACTTAACGCACGGGTGTAGACTACATATTAATGACAAATGAATGAAAATTAAATTGTGAGTTTTTACTTCATATTTTAGAAATAAAAATGACGGGGGAAAACATTTATGACGTCTTTTTAAACGAAATTTCCTAGCGCGACCTGCCTGCTTCACTTAAGTCACTGCTTATTAAGGTCCGTCCAAAATTACCGTGGCCCACCCAAAAATGAAAACCTGGCGCCGCGCCTGTTATAAACCTCTGCAAACTGTTGTTCTTCACTTTATAAAACTCAGACTTTGTACAGCTAATGCCAAGATGTAAAATTATGAATTCAGTCGAGCTCTTCCGTCCCTCCCTCTCCTGCTCTCCTGGAAACCCGACATCGGCCGTCAGAAGAGGGAGGGGAAGAAGGAGATGAGGCAAACAGAGTGAGTGCGACCTAAAGAGACCAGACTGGTGTGGAGGTGAGCAAAACAGCTGGAAAAGTGTGGGTGTTGAATCCCCCACAGGTGCGACGCCAAAAGTGTGGGTGTTGAATGATCTCAATAAGAAAAGTGTGGGTGTTAAGTTTTGAGCTGGTAAAACAAAAATCCTCATCAGCAGGCTTTTTTGAACGTGGGGGGGACACAGCTGTCAATCACAAATTTTGCCGGGGACATGTCCCCGGTGTCGCCGGTTAAAATGACGCCTATGGTTCTAGAGTAACTCTTATTTATCTTTAAGCAGATGATTCTAGTTTTAAATACCAAAAAGGTAGATTTATGAGGCTCTCCAGCCTGTAATGTTCAATCAAAACACTTGTTTAATTTATCTGAGTTATTTTTTTTATTTATTTATTTATTTATTTGCATTAGACAGATCCATCCTCCATCCTTTTTCTATTTGTGCTGTTCAGTCATGATAGGGATATGCAGTTAAACAGGTTTATTGTGAAATCTACTTGCTCGATAGTGAAAAATGTATACTTTATTGTTTTAACAGTATGGATTAAACCATGTTCACTGATGATGTGGGCCTTATATTATAACATGAATAGACCAAAATGACCAACATGTTCATACAGTAAAATCAGTGAGATTAAGTATTTGAGTAAATACATTTAATTTACCTATATTCAAAAACATTTTCTTTATTTAGGTTTTATGTGGTGCAGCACCATAAGCCATAATGCATTTTTCATTATCCTAATTAGAATGTTTGACTTGACAGACTAATTTGTTGATTAGTGCAAATATTAATATTTATTGGATGAAAAGATGACTGGTTCTGCTTTTCTGTTTGAAATGAGCAAATAAAACGGAAAAGCCAAAAAGAACGGATAAAGAAAACACAAGAACTGAGCTCAGCTTTAGAAGATTTAAAGAGGTTGTGTCTCTATCTAGAGGTCACAATCGGAAGTGTTATAATTTATAACAATCCTTGAATCTAAGATTTAACTTCTTGAGGGCTTTACATTTCACCTTCCAACAGACTCTAAGAAAAAAAGGAAGAATGGAGACTGTTGATACGAGAGATCATTTTATTCTCACACTGAAAACTTTAAATTCGAATACAAATACAATACACAAAGAACAGCCTCTCATTCTTGAGCTCTGGTAAGTTTTGATTTCCTGGAAATGTTGCATGAAACTCGAACCCCCCACCCTCCCGCACTTCTTCCTGTGACACTTTTCTTTTACGAAAACGAGTATAGAAAGCATAGAGGTGTAAAAACAACCTATCAAAGATAAATTCACACAATTTGTGAATACCTGCATGCATAATAAACTTGATTCACAGAGAGTTTAATTAGGTTTTAAATATCCAGTTGGTGTTATTTCTATTCAGATTTTAATAGCATAATTTAGTGGAGAGATGTGTGTTTGCATTTTCTGAAAATAAATAGGAGAAAATATTAAAGGTGTTATCTGCACTGTTAAATTAAATATTTGATATTGAATGTTCAACAGTCCAGGATCTAAACTAATGTTTTATGCCTGTGAAAGAAGCTGTGTGAGGATTAGATGTGTTCTATATTTTTGCCTGTTTTATTTATCTCCATCTGCTATAAACTCCAGTTTATCAGTTTTACTGCTTCAACGTGTAGAAACTCATTTGATTTCAAAATAAAAGCTTCTAAGTAAACGCTGCTTGCGCTCTCCAGCGTCCAATTGCGCAATTCAGCTATACTTAGGGTGAAATACCCGGATGTGCAACTCTTATTTATAAGCCTATCGGTTTTTTTTTAAATCAAGTTTCACATGAAGACAGGGAAAAGAGCTGGTTTGCTACTCAGGATTAAACCATTCAGGAAACCATCAAGAACCAGTGGGTAAAAGGAAGGTTTTATTTTCTTGGCACCATAATTTACATAAATGGATCCTAGCGCTCCAGCGATGGGATGGTCTGATGAGAAGACCGCCATGGTTCTGCCTCCCCCTCCCTACCAGGACCTCCAGGCTGGAGCCCCGCAACCCGGCCAGGCTTACCCGCAACAGCCTCAGGTAAGTTACCTGGGCAAGCTACGGTAGCATCCGTTTAGTTCCTTGTGTTTCTTTTTTATTTTGTTTCCCACTGATCTGGGATCATCTCATCTCTATCTTGGGAAATAAATCTTGCTATAAGTTTTTGTGGAATTAAAATGAAATAAAACTTGGGCGAAACAGAGGCTGTGTTTGTTTCTGAACATTGTGTCAAATTCATCTGGAGGAGGAACCGTCTGCATCATCACTCACAAACATCACTGTGGCTCACGAAAGAGAACGCACGAACGCAGTGGTGGTGGGGATGGCGCAAGCAAACTTCCTGGGACAATTAAGCTTTCAACAGTCGATGTATTAAGTGATGGGACATGTAAATATTGGGGCCATATCTACAAACAAAGGAGATGAACTGCACTGCAGAATGGGAAGAAATGGATGAGAGCAGGACAGGCAGCAAGGCAGAGTGGAAAATGTAAAGAGAACAAACTCATCCAGGCTCTAATAGTTCAAACTTATTTGGCTTAGTTTGTTTTTGTCATTTAAAACGTGGTTTGTAGCCGTTTATGTTGAGTAAACGAAGTTATTTAAATAATCATTTATCTTGTTTTTAGATCATAATTCATTTTACACACACATTTACATAATTGATCAATTATAGCCTGGCAGGCCATCCTATTTGCAGACTAAAATCATGTTGCTCTGGTTACTGTCTACATTGGAGAAAGAAAAAACGTGAGGAGCAGTTTGAACCAGTTCTCTTAAGAGTCAGAGTTCCCATCAGAGATTTACCAGAAACGCCCAAACTTTACACCATATCCGCTAATAACCACATGGAGAGGCATTCCAGAGGAGTTTTATTTTTTTTAAGTTTTGCTTTCATTTCAAACAAATAAGCTTTTGGAGCCTGCAGGGAGACAGGGCGTGGCCACAAACAGAAAAAAAGATCAGGAGTCTCATTTATCAAACATTGCTAGAATCCTTACTAAAACCGTACTTAAGCTCAGCAAAAAAAAAAGTGCTTACACCAAGTAGGTTTGTGATCTACCAAACATGCGCACAGCTGCACGCAATCTCCTCTTCATAAATCAGAAACTATCTAGAAAGTTTCTCAGCTGCTTTTTAGTCACATCCCGCTCTCACCACGCCTACTTACTGCCATAAATAGTCAATGCAAAGTGCCTTGTGGATCCCATACATAAGCCGGCTGTTGCAGCGCTCCGCCAATGGCGACCGTAGATCACGGCAGATCAAGGAAGCTCAATTTCACAGAAGCAGAAATTGAGGTACTTGTGGGTGAGGTGGAGAAATGAAAGAAAGTGCTTTTGCAAAACAAAATAAAGCAAATCCAGGAGTGGCACAACGTTGCTGAAGCTGTCAATGTTGTGAATTCTTCAGAGAGATCTGTGGCAGATATAAAAAAAGTGGTCCAATCGGAATTCAATCCCAAGACTCCCAGGTGAAAGTCACACGCGCTAACCAGTCACCCAAATGATGACCTCCCTTCTCCAATCATCATCAATTGGGTCACAGTGACAGGACACACTGTCACAGACGCATGACATTCTGTCTCAATCTGTCCCCCTGCTGATATTCTGCATTCCGTATTCTGCGGTGTGTGTGTGTGCATGTGTGTGCGCGCGCGTGTGTGTGTGCGTGTGGGGGGTCTTGTTCTGTGTGAAAACGAAGCAGTACAAGTGATATTGCTGCAAGATTTCATAATTTTATCCTTCTCAGCAGCAGCACTGCAGGTGCTCTCCATGTCCAAAATGTGCGTAAGCCAGGTCCTTAGTCAACTTAAAGTTGCGCACATTTTTCCGCTAAGTTTTCTTTCATAAATTCCAAAGTTTGCGTGGAAAGTTGCTTACGCAGTTTTCCGACCTCGTTTTGTGCGTAAGCAAGCTTGATAAATGAGGCCCCAGATGTATACATGAAATACATAAAAACGAATAAAACTGAGTCCTTGTTCATTTTCAGGAGTAAAGTTTCCTGCAGAAATAAATAAGGTCCTACAACAACATTTTTCAACAATTGAGAACTATTCTTTAAGCCCGATGTATGAAATGGTTTTGGGACTCGAATGGCCCAGAAGCTATGAGAAAAGGCCAAACACAACCCCATGGTAGAAGATGGGGGATTCTGCTATGTGAAAGTAGGATCAGTCCATCTGGACTGCTTCCACCTTTTAATCTTGACCAGACTGTTCTCTCTAATTTTAGGCCAGTTTCAAAACAGACGTTTCTGTCTAAGGTTCTTGAAAAAGTTGTTTACTCTCAGCTCCAGGACTATTTATCCCTTAACAAAATTTCAGAAAAATTTCAGTCAGGTTATAAGCCCCGTCATAGCACTGAGAGTGCTCTTTTAAGAGTTTTTAATGACCTTTTTTTAATTGCTGATTCAGGCCAGTCAGCAGCTTTGGTTTTACTTGATCTGTCGGCTGCTTTTGACACCGTTGATCACAGCATCTTGTTGTCTCGCCTAGAGTCATGCGTTGGTCTCCCAGGTGCTGTTCTCCAGTGGTTTAAATCCTACCTTCACAAGAGGTCATTTTCCGTTAATGTGGGACCTTTTACCTCGAAAACAGCACCTCTGACATGTGGGGTGCCTCAGGGCTCCATTTTGGGTCCAGCACTTTTTTCTTTGTATATGCTCCCCTTAGGCTCTATTTTTGAGAAGTACAAAATTACTTTTCACAGTTTCGCTGATGACCTTCAGATCTATTTGCCACTTAGTGATGGCTGGTCAATTGGCTCATTACTGGAATGCTTAAAAAGCGTCAAACAATGGATGTCCATGAATTTTCTCAAGCTCAACAATCAAAAAACTGAAATTTTACCATTTGGCAGTCCTAATATTTTAAACAACGTTGTTAGGCCTAATGGTCCTTGTTCTGGTTTTCTAAAACCCTGTGTTAAAAACCTTGTTTTGTGTGTTTTTAGATGGTTCTTTTAATCTTCACAGACAGGTGAGTGCAGTGGTCCAGTCAGGTTTTTATCATTTAAGACAGATAGCAAAGGTGAAGCCTACTGATGTCCTCGAACATGTCATCCATCTGTTCGTGTCCTGCCGATTGGACTACTGCAACTCCCTGTATTCTGGCCTGGACCAGTCCTCCCTACACCGACTTCAGCTGGTCCAAAATGCAGCGGCCAGCTTGCTGACTGGAACCAGTAAGTGGGATCACATAACCCCGGTTCTGGCCTCTCTCCATTGGCCTCCTGTCTCTTACAGGATCCATTTTAAAATTTTACTTTTTGTTTTCAAATCCCTTCATGGCCTGGCCCCAGTTTACATCTCTGATCTGCTGTCCGCTTACGTCCCTGCCAGAACCATGAAGTCCAGCTCCCAAGCTCTTTTAACAGTTCCAAAAACCCGCCACAAGACTCGCGGCGACAGAGCTTTCTCTGTGGTTGGTCCCAAACTGTGGAACAAGCTACCTCTCAACATCAGGACCACACAGAATCTAGAGCATTTTAAGTCCCTTCTTAAGACACATTTTTTTAATTTGGCTTTTAATGCAGGTTGACTTGAGCATCTAAACAGTTTTTAACAGTTTTTATTACAGATTGTGACTATTGTGTGCTCATCTTTTTTTAGGTTTTTATTGTTGATCTGTTGTATCTTGATTTGTTTTACCTTGTACAGCGCTTTGGGTGTAGCTTTGCTGCTGTAAATGCGCTCTATAAATAAAATTGACCTTGACCTTAATAGACATACACATCACTGCACTAGGGCTGGGTGATAAAACAAAAGCAATAAGGTAATTACTTCACTGGCATATTCTTACTGTGTTTAGTTTCTAATTCCATTTTTGGTTCTTTTTAAAACACAGGAAAGGTTTTTCTTTACCCTGCTAACGTTTCGTTTGCCGACTGCAAAACATCCTCAGAGCTGACGCTGATGGTGGCGTCACTTCCTACTCCTTTTATAGGAGGCTGGTAGCTAACTCCACTTACTTTACATACGATGACACAATATACAAACAACTGGAAGGCTTCGCCATGGATAACCCGTTATCAGCCACCCTGTGCGAGTTTTTCATGGAAGACCTAGAACAAAAAGCCTTAACCACTGCTCCCCCAAACTGCAAAATAAAATTATGGAAACGCTACATAGATGACATACTGGAAATCATACCAAAAGGACAAACAGAAACATTAACACAACACTTGAATAACATTGATGACACAGGCAACATAAAGTTCACTTATGAGTCAGAAACAGAAGGCAGTATAGCATTTATGGATATGAAAATAACCAGGCAGACCGACGGGACCCTAAACATAAACACATATAGAAAACCAACACACACAGACCAATATTTATTAAGGACATCAGAACACCCCACCATACACAAAATGTCAGTAATCAGAACATTATATCACCGAGCAAACATGGTAACAGAGGAAAGAGACCGTAAACAAGAGGACAAACACATACAACACGGTTTAAAGACCTGTGGATACCCGACATGGGCAATAAACAAAGGAAAACAACAAACAACAACAGAAAGAAAAGATCAACCTAAGCAAAGAACCAGAAACCCAGAAAGACAAGAACCAAAACCAGTGATAACCCTACCATACATCAAAGGCATAACAGAAAAAATAAGAGCAACAATGAAAAAACACAACATAAACACACCAACAAAACCATACACAACAGTTAGAAACAGACTAGTGCACCCAAAAGACAAAATATCAGCTAGACTTAAATGTGGAGTCGTTTACGAAATCCCATGCAAACTCAGCAATAAAACATGTGTAGGAGAAACCGGACGCCAACTCAACACACAAACAATAGAACATAGAAAGGAGTGTGAGAAAGAGGCAAATCGATAACACACAAGAGCAGCAAAACAAGAAGCAGAAAGCACAATAAAGAAGTCGGCCGTAACAGATCACTGCACAAGAGAAAACCATATAATGGACTGGGACAACACAAGGATCATAAACACCGAACAACAGAAATACAAAAGATGGATAAAGGAAGCTATAGAGATAAGGAGACGTGGATGTGGGACCATGAACAGAGACGATGTGGTCTATACATTGGATCATGCATGGGACTGCATCATCGAAGAGGGGAGAGTGGGCAGCAGAGGGCGACAACGTCCTCTGCTGCCCGCGGATAAACGGAGTAGGAAGTGACGCCACCATCAGCATCAGCTCTGAGGGTGTTTTACAGTCAGCAAACGAAACGTTAGCAAGGTAAAGGAAAACCTTTCCTGCGTTTTAAAAAGAACCAAAAATGGAAATGGTAATTATTTTTCCTCCATAGACATATGAGAATGGGTCAACAGAACACTGATATAAAGGAAAGAGCACATGGGTCAGCAGCAGCCAGACGGGCACACTGCAATCTGCTAATACTTAGCTTCCTGCTGCAGGTAACAGGTTAGCTGCTGAAAAGTGAACAAAACAAGCACCCTGAATAGAAAAAGGGGACAGACACTGCACATCGTTTTAAATTAAGGTACCTAACAATTCATCTGTGTGGATTAGGGCTGTATGATTTTTGGAAAACTGGAGAAGGAAGATTTTTCTAGGATAAATTGCAATTTCGGTTCGATTTACAATTTTCTTCACACAATTCACAATATAGTGATAAATCACACCATAAAAACATTAAAAGCTATTAATCTTCTCCAATTGTTACCTTGTTTCATGTTCTTGTGACGCAACTTGTGATTTTTATCTAAAGAGGCAGATTTGAAAAAAAGAACCATCTGATTACTGAACAGACGGACTCTCTCCTGAGCTACTCAGGTGCCACATGAGCGGAGCAGTGGGGGGAACGCATCTCAACAATGGAACCGACCAGAATACTGACATACCACTGATGAGCAAAGGTGCAGGTTTAATTAGCAATGGGAGAGGGAGGGGGAGAGGGGCAAATACAGAGAGAGTAACACATGACGTGTTTATTAAAATATGTCAGTAATGTCCGACCGCATTTTTAAAAGAAGCTGCGTTTTCACGTCGACTTTGTGTTATTATGATAAACCCGTTCTGCTGCTGGAAAATCAGCCTCTCTCTCTCTCTCTCTCTCTCTCTCTCTCTCTCTCTCTCTCTCTCTCTCTCTCTCTCTCTCTCTCTCTCTCTCTCTCTCTCTCTCTCTCTCTCTCTCTGTCACTCACCCACTGTGCTGAGAGAAAAACATTCACAGCAGCTCTGTCAGCAGGACTCAGCTCCAGTACCAGTATCCCCCTCCCACTCCCAGCGCTGTCTGCTGCCGCCGTAACACAGGGGAAAAACCTCGAATGTCTAAAATAGTTGAAAATAGCTCCTGGATCAGTCAGGAGCGCTACAAAAGCTTTGATGATCATTCAATTCAATTCAATTCAAAAATACTTTATTAATCCCAGAGGGAAATTGATTGCTGTAGTAGCTCAAAATAATAATAATAATCAAGTCATCAAAGAGTTCACTCGTCCAGTAAGAAAGATGTGATCGTGTTGTTTGAAATTGCAATCTTGGTCCAAAAACGATAGATTGTTTACGCCTAGTGTGGATGTAGTTTGGCTAGCGTCGTAGCTGTGAAGCTAATAAAGTTGAGTGCATCTGTTTTCATGAACCAGCTCCACCCACTGGACACAGGACTTAGTTACTGTTTTACGTAAGTAAGTCAATGAGGTTGCCAAATCTGCAGGGAGATAATGCAGCAGAACAGGCATTTGTAAATGGACAGGAGGCAAAAAGCTCCACAGTTGTTTAAAGAACCAACACCAGTCAACAGAGTCAACCCAGAAGTGATTTCTTGCACCCCTAAGAAGCCACGGCATCCTTTTGTTTTACTCAAATGTCGGGTGAAATAGGCTTGTCATGGCAAAGTGTTTCACTTGGAGTGGTTTAAAATTTTTAAATGTATATTTTTTTAACCTGCAGGGTCATGGAGCACCACAGCCATATGGTGGAGGATATAATATGCAGACATATGCCATGGGCCAGCAGTATCCAGCTCAACCGGGCATGGTCACAGTCCAGCCCACGGTGTACGTGACCCGAGGGCCTCTGGAGGTGGAGAATCCAGTCAATGACTACATGGGCTACTCCATCTTCACCTTGCTCTGCTGCTGCCTGCCGTTGGGCATTGCTGCCCTCATCTACTCCATCTCAGTAAGTTTGGTCAACCTGTGCGACACTCTCTCTCAACTCTAGTGGGACACCAAGTCAGACAAGCGGTCCCTTTGCATGCTAGTGCACGTGAGTTCCTTCCATGTGATAAAGAGCAGATATTTTCACCACAAAGAGAGGATTAAGATAAGAGTTGGTGCTATTTGAAGGGCTTTGGGTTGGATTTTACTGTCAGTACAGGTCTGGTTTTTGTTTTTGGAGAGAGATCTGATTGTATTCCAAGTAGAGGTTGACTGATATTGGTTTTTCTATTGCCGATACCGAGGCCAATATCTAGAGGTCATGGTCAGCCAATGGCCGTTAGGGTGCTGCCGATGTATTAGGTCAATTCTTTGCATTACGTTCTGCCCTGTCTTTAAATAGGCTTTATTGAGGAGGTATATTAGCCAACACCGGTTTATTAAAAATGGTAAATATCGGCCCGATATATAGGCCGGCCAATATATTGGTCTACCCCTAATTCTAAGGCTGTAATTTTGCAGCTTAAAACCATCTTTGCTCTGGTAACAAAGATGATGGTGGATTTTTCAATACAAACTCAGAGTGTTTTTTTTTACTGCGCTTGAACGGTTGTCAAATAGATTATTTTATTAATCAAAAGATTTGATAGAATATTCAGATACTAAAATATTTGATAGCTGCAGCCTGTACTCGATACTCAAGACCTAGTACAATAAGATATGGCATGAGACAGGAGTGTATGGGCTGTGTATGAGTATTCTGACAATATAACTAAGTACAAAACGTTTTGTTGATATTCATTGATCTTTTCTTTGGCAGTAATACTAGGGGCCTGTGATGTCTGAATTTTCCCCGAAATTCCACTTTTTTCCATTTTTATTTTTCACAGTTCAGCATTTTCCATTTTAACCGTATTTATTAACCTAAAAATTGAGCAATTCAGCAACTTGGTAGCCACAGAACTCAAAATATAAGTAATGTGGTTCTGCCGAACACAGAGTGTTTTTGCAAAATCTTTAATGTGGTCATCTCTTTTGGAAGAACAAACTACGTGATTATTAGGTAGGGATGTACAGAGAATTCGGTCACTGAAAAGAATTTGGCAAAAAATTACTCAAAAGTGTGTTTTTGGTTTCTGAAACACCTAAATAACCAGAACAACACAGTTGAAACATGCCGTCTGGTGAAACCCGTTTTCGTTTCATCTCGCTCCGCCCTCATGTGGCAACTTGCTGTAAAGTTTTTCCCCTTTTAGTAATGCTGTTTTATTACGTTCGCTGGAATATTCATGTCAATTATGTGACACACTTTTTACATTCAGTTTCAGATCAACCGGCTTTTTTTTCTTCTTTTACATTCCTGTTACATCCGTCACTATTAGCGGTGTTTTTACCAGCCTTTCTACACCAACCATGTCCTGAACCTGGTGAAATAAGCTTTGGATCATGTGTGTGAAGCTTGTTTATGCTCATGAAGCACACAGACTCTGTTGCTGCTGCACAGCTGCTGCGTCACTTTCTTTCTTACTGGACAAGTGAATATCATTATCAGAGGCTGAATATAGGGAGCCTAAGTCACACCCATCTACCTCCGGACCATGGGTCCCCAGAAGAACAAAAAAATGAATGCAAGTCCATGTCCAGCGGTGGTCCCACGGGCCACACCACATCCATGTCCAGCAGGGGTTCCACCTCCGTCTGAAAAAAAAATATATATATATATATATATATATATATATATATATATATATATATATATGTGTGTGTGTGTGTGTGTGTGTGTGTGTGTGTGTGTGTGTGTGTGTGTGTGTGTATGAAACTACAGTGTAAAACGTGTGATGTGTGCTGCTGCTGCAGATCTACTCTTCATGCCCTGCCTCTCTTCTCCATCACACACACACTCTATCATCATATTTGTCTTTTTTTGCACAATGTCTCCACGTCCCCCACATTCCAAGTGAGTCTGAAATATTTTTCTGTTGAAGTATTTCCTTCTCAGAGTCAAGGAAGACAATTTGCTTCTTTGTTTATAAAACATGTTGAGTTTCTTTTCTGTTGTTTACATTTGAGTCAGTAAACTTCACGCTTTGCCTTAAATGGCAATTGGCCTGTGTTTGTATTGCGTCTACTTAGGGTTCTACAACCCCCAAGGTGCTTCACAACACATCAGCCATTCACCCATTCACACGCTGGTGGAGATGGGCCACAATGTAGCCACAGCTGCCCTGGGGCACACTGACAGAGGCGAGGCTCGCTGAACACAGGTGCCACTGGTCCCACCACCAGCAGCCAAGGAAGTTAAGTGTCTTGTCCAAAGACAAAACAGCAGCATTCTCTGGTGGGAGCCGGGATCAAACCTGCAACCTTCTGATTACTAGACAACCTGCTCTACCTCCTGAGCTACTGCTGTCCCTACAGGCGCCTTAAGTAGATAAAACTATAGACATGAATACACAGACTCCCCATCGGGTGCTGGAGAGTGTAACAGTGTCGCCACGGCTTTGTTGTCTCAGAACGCCATAAAAAACGCAGCTGCTCTCATGCTCCAAATGGATTAAATAAAGAAATGCTTCGACAGACAAAAACTTTTAATGTTACTGTGGATGATCACTCACTGCGGAAGCAGCCGCGATATGCTGACATCTGTGCAAAGTCCTGAAAGGACTGAATTTCAATGGAGACAGCTGAGAGGACCGGGACTTCGTGTCTCCTGGTCAGTTTCCCAGAAGTAGAAACACAGCTAATGATGATTACAGGAAAGAACCAAGCAAAGTCATTAGTGCAAAGGGTAATTTGGTTGTATCTACACTAATTGAGGATTACCAGACAAGGAAATTAACTTCAAGCAGCAGAAACGCTATATAAACACACAGGGATTTAATGGGCATGCGAGAAACATCAGAAACATTCATAACCAATACAACCAAGATGTGCTGAATAAAGATGCAGTCTTTGTTAAATGATTCAATCATTTTCTGAAACTACTATATATATATATATATATATATATATATATATATATATATATATATATCGATAGATAGATAGATAGATAGATAGATAGATAGATAGATAGATAGATAGATAGATAGATAGATAGATAGATAGATAGATAGATAGATAGATATACATATTTCAACATGGAACCTTTAAAATGGATTTATACGTAAGGCCAGTATTTACAAAAAACCAGTGTTGACACAGAATTGGGCTGAAAAGGTTCCAAAGCCCAGGGCCCTCAATTATCAAACATTTGCATAAACTGTCCTATATTCCATCCTATGAAGGAAATTTTGAATGTTATTGTGAACGGCCAAATTCCTAACTTATGAAACATGCAGTGGCCACTTAACGCATGTTCCTCTGCAATTGACATGATAAATCCCACCCTTGCATACACAGGTTCTCCATTCACAGTTATTTACATACAGAAACACCCTCAAATAACCATATTTAGTCACACCACTTCTTCAGGTCACGAGGGTAATCCCTGCGTTCTTCCCAAAAAATACAAGTTTATTGACTGCGAGATTGATGCACTGGCTGCCTAAGTAGAAGAGAGGTTGAAAATGTGGTCGGGGCAGAGGAGGTGGTTCTGTCAGACGTAAAGAAAAAATAGTTAAACATAAAATTGAATATGAAAAATCGAGGAGTAACGGCTTGTAGTTTACAGTTTAGTTGTAGGCATGTTCTGTCAGTTTTGTTCTTGCTTGAACACATTAGTTGTCTGTTATTTTATGATTTTATGTTTTTATCTTGCTCTTATGCCCAGGTACTGGGAATGTTTTTATGATGATGTTTAGCACCTTGGGCTTCTGATAACGTTGCAGAAGGTGCTCTACAAATAAAATTGATTGATTGAGACATGGTTCCACAATTTACAAGTGATTTTATTTTAGAAAGATAAGTTTTAAAAAAATAATAATTCCTCCTTGAACCGTCACCTTATCGTGGTGGAGGAGTTTGAGTGCCCTAATGATCCTAGGAGCTATGTTGTCTGGGGCTCTTTGTGCCCCTGGCAGGGTCTCCCATGACAAATTGGTCTTAGGTGAAGGGTGAGACAAAGAACAGTTCAGAAGATCTTTCATGGATGTAAAAACAAAGAGTCGGAGTACCTGGCCCGGAGGGTTACCGGGGTCCCACCCTGGAGCCAGGCCTGGGGTTGGGGCCCGTGAGCGAGTGCCTGGTGGCCGGGCTTTTGCCCATGGGGCCCGGCCGGGCCCAGCCTGAACCGGATACATGGGCTCATCCAACTGTTGACCCACCACCCGCAGGAGGAACATGAAGGGTCCGGTGCAGTGTGGACCGGGTGGCAGACCGAGGCGGGAGCCTTGGCGGTCCGATCCCCGGACAAGGAAACTGGCTTTTGGGACATGGAACGTCACCTCGCTGGCGGGGAAGGAGCAGGAGCTTGTGGCAGAGGTTGAGCGGTACTGGTTAGATACAGGTGCTGGCCAGTAAATTAGAATATCATCAAAAGGTTGAAAATATTTCAGTAATTCCATTCAAAACGTGAAACTTGTACATTATATTCATGCAATGCACACAGACCAATGTATTTCCGATGTTTATTACGTTTAATTTTGATATTTATAGGTGACAACCAATGAAAACATCAAATCTGGTATCTCAGAAAATTAGAATATTCTAAAGGCCAATGAAAAAATGTTTGTTTCTCTAATGTTGGCCAACTGAAAAGAATGAACATGAAAAGAATGTGCATGTATAGCACTCAATACTTAGTCGGGGCTCCTTTTGCCTCAATAACTGCAGTAATGCGGCGTGGCATGGACTCGATCAGTCTGTGGCACTGCTCAGGTGTTATGAGAGCCCAGGTTGCTCTGATAGTCGTCTTCAGCTCCTCTGCATTGTTGGGTCTAGCGTATTGCATCCTCCGCTTCACAATACCCCATAGATTTTCTATGGGGTTAAGGTCAGGCGAGTTTGCTGGCCAATCAAGGACAGGGATACCATGGTCCTTGAACCAGGTGCTGGTGGTTTTGGCACTGTGTGCAGGTGCCA